TGTAGCTCAACTTACAACCATTAGTTTACGGTGTTGTATCTTTTGTGGAAATTAATTAGCATACCTGTGGGAAGAAAAGGGTCAAACAGTCCAATTGTCAACTCCGATATTGTGGCAGTGACTAGAGGATGATGGGCAGCTAAAACTGAAGCCTTTCAATTAGATCATAGTTAGTATACCAGAACTTACGGGGGAAAGAGAACGTAGACTAATATCAGCCTTCGTGCTTGATATCAGTCTGTAGCACAAGTCCTTTCTGTAATGTGGACTTGAATGAATATAAAGGAAATAAAGAACTCATTATTGGTGGTATATATCTGGACAAAAAACGTGTAACTGGACTGTATCAATCAGCATATAACAAGCTAACAAAAGTGCGTGAGGCTTTTTCGATATTTTCAACGGTTTCTGAGAAATTGCAGTTTGCAGTTGGACAATGGCAAATATTTCGGTTCAAGCTCCGCGACGTCACAGAGAAATATTTCGAAGTTTTGTAAAAGTCTCACACAATTTTCATGAAAATCCAACAAATCTACATACCCTGACTTTTTTATAAGCCGTGGTAACCTGGGTAAAAATCAGACTTTGAGTTTTTGGCCTTCAAAGAAATTTACGGTTTTCGCACCTCATTTAAGAGCGTGTCACTGTAGCCATTCTGCCGACCAATGAAATGCAACATTGAACCCCTTGGCAAGTCGCGTGAGAAGGAAGTTTGTTAAAATTCTCGAGTGAGATCATGTAACGAAATGGGGCAAACGAATTTACGATGGCTTAAACGAAATCCAAAAATTCCTCCGAACAAAACAGAAGGTGGGGAAAATGAGAAATTTAACCGCGAAGAGCCTTATTTTTCAACATTTTTTGAAATGTGGCACAAAGTCCTTCTTTTGTGCAGTTCAAGGGGCGTTCTTTAGTCTAGCGTTTACCAGTCCTTTCGTACCCATCTAGAACGTTTCGCAGCCAAACAGTCAAGTCGTTTCGTACATAACTTGGTGGTTTCTTACAGATAAAGTTTGTTTTTCTTTGCTAAATATGTTAAGTATGTTTTCCATGTGAATAACAAAAATAAGTTTTGTGGACGGGGTGATCATTTTTGAAGCGCGAACACCGAGGGGTAAGGCCTGGAACCGAAAACGCAAAAGTTGTAGAATATTTCCACTAGACACGATTGACTTTTTTTATTCCATCCTAAATTCACCTACATTACAATCTTATGCTAATGTAATTAAAAGATCAAATTTTGAGAAACCATAAAACTGAATTGAGTAACAATCTTTTGTTTACTCATATACTAAACTTAATCACGTGTCGTGATAGCGCTCAGTTCATTCGATAACGGATCTGTTGACGCTTGCGCATCCTTTCAGTAAATGAATTCTGCTTGCTATTAAATACTTCCCATGAATATAAGATTCGGCTCTGCAGTTAGCGGTAAGTTGATCTCTGTATCTGCTGCAGCTTGCGCTCGGAGACAAGGCGAGTCTGAATCTAATAAGAGGAGGACTTGCTTTACGTGGTCACCTTGGCGGACGAACCTGTTATAAGTAAAGAGCTGAGTGACAGGTGGCGACACAATTTGAATGTTCTGTCAAAAAAGTACTGCTCGGCCTTGCTTAACTTATCTAGTTGTTCACCCGTCGCGAAGACCAGGTATTGCCTGTCACGGTTTTCGACTTCTGCTCGAAGGAGGGCCTCAGAGATGCTGGATTCGTCAATAATAAAGTCGAGGTCAACCGGATCTTGCGGTCTTTTCGCATGGGTTCGGCAAAGTAGGCAAACCAGCATTGGCCCGATGCTGGTCGGAATAAGTTGTCTGTTGCTTTTCGTCGGATGGATGTAGTCAAATTGGCGATTTTCGGGGGTCCAATTTCCCCTGCGTGTTTGTGGTTGACTCCTCGGGCTTCACAGAGCTAGAGGGCTTCGTCAGAGCAAAAGTTTCGCTCTGACGAAGGGCTAACGCTCGAAAGAAAGGTCACCTTTGAAACTCTTTACGGTGGCCAATTTGCATTATGAACTCAGTTGATAAAATCAAAAATTCACCTGTTATAACCTCTCATAATCTCATGAAAATAGTAAATGTCTAAAGAAGAAGTAGAGCGTTCTACTACGGTAACATCTCGCGAGAGTCGAAATTGTGTCAGCTGCAATTACCTCATCGTCACCGTTAAATTCGCTACCGAAAGAACTATTCCCTTTTTGAAAGTAAGATGCACTTATATCAATGAATTTGAACATATGAAAGTCATATATGCGTACTGCGGATTCATGAAAAGTATGAAAGCGTTCCTCTCAGTCATGAAGCCTACTTATCTAGTAGGTGGAAATAAGGCCTAAAAGAAATTCAGGCCCGTACGGGGTTTGAACCCATGACCTTTGCGATACCGGTGCAGTGCTCTACCAAGTGAGCTAACAAGCCAAGTGGGAGCTGGACAGTATGTTGGTTCGTATTAAATCCGTCGAAATCACTTATTTCTTAACTGACTTTTTTAAGGTACTGCGGGAGTAAACAACTTCGATCTTGGAAATCTCATTTAAAGTAATAAATGTCAAAAGGAGAAGTAGGGCGTTCTATTACGGGTAACATCTCATGAGAGTCAAAATTGTGACAGCTGTAATGACATCATCGTTAAATCCGCTTCCGAACAATCTATTCCCCTTTCGAAAGGAAGATTCACTTATTTCTTGAATGACTTCTTTTGAGGTACTGTGGCAGTAGACAACTTCGTGGAACTGCTTTGACATCCATAAAAGAAGTGTGAACAAAAACTGATTGAATAAGATAATGCCAACTCACGATTGACCTAACAAAGTGACCTAATCCAGTTATTTACATCATCTATATTTCAGCCGCTGGTATGATAAAGTTATGTTTTGACACTCTTTTCATCAGGGCACTCTTCTTCATTGGACTCGGCGATTTTTTCAAGAAAAAATGTTTCATAATCAGCATTTTAACATGATCAGAGGCGTAGTTCTGTTTGTGAGCATCATCCTGGCTCTTAGGTAAGTGTTGAGAGAAGTAATGGTATAAAACATAAACAAAAACCCATATGATCCTGATGCAATCTTTTTTTTTTTTTTTTTTCACCCGTAGGATGGGTAGAAGTGCTGACAGAAAGCATTCTGGGAAATACAACTTGGGAAAGAAGACGCCTATTTTTCACGATGGAGCGCGGCAAAACTTGATAAAAAAGCAATCAAGTAAGGTTACAAATACGAACATCGTAAAATTGACTGGTTGTAGATAAGACGGTGTTTATGTCCATTCGGCGAAAATGCCGATTTTATTCAGGAAGAAAAAGGTTCACATCTTCCAAATTACTTGTTACATACCAATTAAAATAGGTTTTTTTTCACAAGCACGCTTGGTAATTAATTGCATATACAGGTTCATACGTGATTAGAAAAGCTTTGTGCTCGAAAAGTCTCAAGTTTTACATCTCCCAACTTTTGTTTCCCCTTTGTGGATCCATGAGATCAATTGAATTCATTATTGCTAATCTCCCTGAGTGTGCTTGTCGTTCTACCGCTGTGTTGGAGTAAG